CGAGGGCGTCGAGTTCAACTGGTGGGGGTGGTTTGTTAGACCCCCAAAGTCGGACATGATGGAAGAGGCAAAAGACTAAGGCAAGGGCATGTGCATGGGCCCTTGACTTGGGCAAAAATGTGGGCTAAGGCAAGGCTGGATCAGATGGTTGAGTTGGCAAGATGACTTGACAATTGTCAATGCCTGGCTGACAAGGCATGTTGGGCAAGGTTGTTGGCAGAAGCAATGGCATGAACCTGGCTGACAGGTAGGCATGACGGCGGGCTGACAGCAACAGAGGCATGCTCTGACGGAAATGATTTGTTGGGCAAGGTTGCTGGCAGAAGCAATGGCATGAACCTGGCTGACAGGAAGGCATGATGGCGGGCTGACAGCAACAGAGGCATGCTCTGATGGAAATGATTACCAGCACAAGCTGCTGCAACAGGCATGGCATTGGGGCAGTGTGCGTGGCACACCTGGCAGCTGGACTGGCTGCATGTGAGACAGCTGGCACATGCAGAAATACTCTTTGTAAATGTATTATACCTGCTGAGGCAGAACTTGTATAAATATAGGATGTTGTAAAGAGCTTTCCTAACTCGTGATTCTTTGTATTTATCTGAGAGATAAATAAAAGTTGGGCTTGTTGCCTGTAAACATTGTGTGCCTGTTTCCCTCGTTTAATTCTGTCTTTGCACCTAAGTATCAAAACAGGTGTTCTTGTGGGCTGAAGTTAGCTGCGAGCTGACTGCCATACAGTGGTGCCAACGAAAAAAACTGTGTCAACTAAATTGTGGTACCTCAAGGTGGCGGATTGCGCAGGGAACTGCTGAAAGAGGCGCATGACACCACATGGGCTGGACATCCGGGTGTTGAGCGGATGCTGGCCTTACTGTCCAGAGTGTATGTCTGGGCCAAAATGGAAGATGACATTGAAGCTTATGTGAAAACTTGCCTAGTTTGTCAGCTGGACAAGACTGAGCGCAAGAAGGAGGCGGGCTTGCTGCAGCCTCTTCCTATTCCGGAAAGACCATGGATTTCAGTTTCTATGGACTTCATCGGCGGGTTTCCAAAGGTCAATGGAATGGCGTCAATCATGGTTGTGGTGGACAGGTTCTCAAAATATGCTGTTTTTATTGCTGCCCCAGTCGCTTGTTCGTCAGATGTTGCTGCGGAATTATTTTACAAAAACGTGGTTAAGTTCTTTGGTGTGCCAGCTGATATTGTCAGCGATCGGGATACACGGTTCACAGGCCGGTTTTGGACAGTGTTGTTCAACATGATGGGGACTAATCTGAAGTTCTCAACGGCGAACCATCCTCAAACCGATGGGCAAACGGAAAGAATTAATCACCTTTTTGTAAAATAATTCCGCAGCAACATCTGACGAACAAGCGACTGGGGCAGCAATAAAAACAGCATATTTTGAGAACCTGTCCACCACAACCATGATTGACGCTATTCCATTGACCTTTGGAAACCCGCCGATGAAGTCCATAGAAACTGAAATCCATGGTCTTTCCGGAATAGGAAGAGGCTGCAGCAAGCCCGCCTCCTTCTTGCGCTCAGTCTTGTCCAGCTGACAAACTAGGCAAGTTTTCACATAAGCTTCAATGTCATCTTCCATTTTGGCCCAGAAATACACTCTGGACAGTAAGGCCAGCATCCGCTCAACACCCGGATGTCCAGCCCATGTGGTGTCATGCGCCTCTTTCAGCAGTTCCCTGCGCAATCCGCCACCTTGAGGTACCACAATTCTGCCCCCTTTGAAATAGAGCAGATCGTCCTCGATCCAATACCTCCGGATAGTTCCATCACGAACTTGACTCATTACCTTTTGATATAATAAGTCATTGGCAGCACACAGTCTGATTTTATCAACAAAATCAGATTGCAGTCTCGAAATAGAATATGCAGCAGCAAATACCTCCTTCCGACTCAATGCATCAGCTACTTGGTTCTGTTTCCCTGGCTTATGTTCCCACACGAAATCATACTCAGCCAAGAACTCCTGCCAACGAGCCTGTTTGGGACTCAATTTACGTTGCGTTTTGAAGTAAGTATTGGCGACGTTGTCTGTCCGCACAATAAACTTCGTTCCCAGCAAATACACCCGCCAAGTTAGCAAGCAGTGAACCACAGCAACCATTTCTTTTTCATGGGTAGAATACCTCTGCTCCGCATCATTCAATTTCCTGCTTTCGAAAGCCACTGGATGGCCTTCTTGGATCAGCACGCCCCCAACAGCTTTGTCGGAAGCATCAGTATGTACCTCAAAAGGCAACTCGAAATCAGGAAGCTTTAATATGGGTTCGGATGCAATGGCATTCTTCAGCAAGTTGAATGCCTCATCACACTTTTCTGTCCAAACCCAGCCCACGTCCTTCTTCAATAAGTCCGTCAAGGCAGCAACTTTCTTTGAGTATCCCGCAATGAATTTGCGGTAGTAATTTGCCAAGCCAAGAAAAGACCTCAAGTCTTTCACATTCCGTGGCACGGGCCAGTCAACAATGGCCTGTACCTTCGCTGGATCCATCTTTACCTGGTTCTGTCCGACCAAGTGCCCCAGAAACTTAATTTCCTGCTGGCCAAATTCACATTTTTCCATCTTCACATAAAGCTGATACTCCCTTAATCGGCGCAGTACCAACCTAAGATGGTTTACATGTTCCTCTAATGACCTACTGTAAATTACAATGTCATCTAAGTACACAACTACGAAATCATCAAGGTACTCAAAAAGGACATTGTTCATTAAATTACAGAAGGTTGCCGGGGCATTAGTCAGCCCAAATGGCATTACAAGGAACTCATAAGACCCATATCTAGTTACACAGGTTGTTTTGGGCTCATCACCCTCAGCTATCCGCACTTGCCAATATCCGGACCTTAAGTCCAGTTTCGTGAACCAACAGGCCTTGCTTAACCTGTCCAGAAGATCTTGCATTAAAGGGACAGGATACTTGTTCTTAACTGTTACCTTGTTCAAAGCCCGATAGTCGACGCACATCCTCAACGAACCATCCTGTTTTTTCTGGAATAAAACAGGAGCACCGTAAGGAGCCTTTGATGGTTGAATCAGGCCTGCCTCCAGCAGCTCGTTCAGTTGCTTCCTTAATTCAACCAGCTCTTTGGGAGCCATCCGGTAAGGAGCTTGTGCAGGGGCGACTGAACCTGGCAGCAGTTCTATCTTGTGATCAATATCCCTTCTGGGCGGCAAGGTTTTAGGCAGTTCTGGTGGCATCACGTCTTTAAACTCGCCCAAAACCTGTGCCACACTGTCTGGCACTTTTATGTTTACTTCTGGCTTAAGTTCGATTAGGGCAGCAAGAAAGGTATCTTCTCCCCTTTTCAGACCCTTTTCAATGGACATGGCAGAGATAAGAGGGTTCTTGCACTTACTCGTCTTCATGGCCTCGCCATGAGGATGAACAGCGTTGATAAACCCAGCCATTTGGCCATGCATCACCATCACTCCGTCCAGGTGAGGCATTGGAACGAAGCAGTTTTTCCTCAGGAAATCTATCCCAAGGATCATGTCGAATTCCCCCAGCGGAATTACCATCAGGCTGTGCTTTCCTTCCCACGGTCCAGCGGACATCTTCACATCGTAGGCCATTCCTTCGATGCGCTGGGCAACCTGGTTCACAGTTTTCATGTAGTTTGGACTCTTTTTCCATCGCAGTCCAAACTTGGCAGCAATCTTCACATCAATAAAAGTATGGGTAGCTCCAGAGTCTACCATCGCGACCAACACTTGATCTTTAACTTTAAATTCAATATGCAATAATAAAGAATGAGGGTTCTTAGAAGGCTCACCCATTGCATTTACTAGTGACATCTGATTATTCAAAAGTAAACCCAATGGATTAGCCAGGGCAGCAACCACTTCTCCTTCTTCATTCGTACCTGCATTTCCAGCAAGCATAGCATTCACCCTTTCACGATTTGGGCAACTCTTGGCCATGTGAGGCCCGCCACAAGTCCAGCAACCCTTGTCAGTTGCTGCATTTTTCTTGCCTTTTTGTTGTCCAGCATCACCAACAGCTTTGCCTTTGTCTAGGCTTTCCTTGCGTACTTCTTTCCTCCATTCCCCCTTCTTCTCAGGCTTCTTCTTTGCCTTTGAAGAAGCTGGAATTTCAGAAGGAAGCCTGGTTGAGCGAAAGTCCACTAAAGAGTCAGCTGCGGCAATAGCACTAGGGAGGTCCTTCACGTTCTGCCTCCTTAGTTCGTTCTGGGCCCATGCTTGCATCCCAGAAATAAAGTTGTGCAGTTTGTCCTCATCGGACATGTTTTTAATATCCAACATCAAGGAAGTAAATTCCTTAATGTAATCACGAACAGAACCCGTTTGTTTGAGCTGCTTCAAACGGTCTCTTGCCACCCAAGATGCGTTGCTAGGGAGGAACTGATCACGCATCTCTTTTTTCAGTCTTTCCCAAGAGTCAATCCTGGGTCTCCCAGCACTAATATCGTCGGCATCCCTGGTCCGCCACCACAATTTGGCATCGCCAGTTAAGTACATGGTGGTTATACTTGTCGCCCTCAGCAATGCGAGCAGTTGTAAAGTACTGTTCCATGTCCCACAGAAAATTTTCCAGTTCCTTAGCAGAACGCGTACCTGTGAATGCTTTTGGTTCTGGAAGTTTGAGCTTGGAACGATCAGCTTCATGGGTCTGGCCAGTGTTAGCCAAAGCCCTTCGTAGCACCCTGATTTCCAAGTTCAAATTTTCATTTTCTTGTTTCAGATCCTCGATCTGAGCAGAGACATTGTTGCGGAACTCATCAATACTTGTGGTTTTTAGCAGCATCATCTCACGGAACTGGGCAAGTTCCATGTTAAGGCCATGGATGCGGGTGACTAGGGAAGTTACGTCCCCCACATCCTCTGCAATTCCCACAAGAGCTTCTAAGGCAGCTGTCCGATCTCGTAACTCATTGATTGCGTTGTTTCCACCAGCCATCGTTTAATCAGTAGCAAGGCTCTGATACCAGTTGACACAGGGGTGATTTTTTTCGTTGGCACCACTGTATGGCAGTCAGCTCGCAGCTAACTTCAGCCCACAAGAACACCTGTTTTGATACTTAGGTGCAAAGACAGAATTAAACGAGGGAAACAGGCACACAATGTTTACAGGCAACAAGCCCAACTTTTATTTATCTCTCAGATAAATACAAAGAATCACGAGTTGGGAAAGCTCTTTACAACATCCTATATTTATACAAGTTCTGCCTCAGCAGGTATAATACATTTACAAAGAGTATTTCTGCATGTGCCAGCTGTCTCACATGCAGCCAGTCCAGCTGCCAGGTGTGCCACGCACACTGCCCCAATGCCATGCCTGTTGCAGCAGCTTGTGCTGGTAATCATTTCCATCAGAGCATGCCTCTGTTGCTGTCAGCCCGCCATCATGCCTACCTGTCAGCCAGGTTCATGCCATTGCTTCTGCCAGCAACCTTGCCCAACAAATCATTTCCGTCAGAGCATGCCTCTGTTGCTGTCAGCCCGCCATCATGCCTACCTGTCAGCCAGGTTCATGCCATTGCTTCTGCCAGCAACCTTGCCCAACATGCCTTGTCAGCCAGGCATTGACAATTGTCAAGTCATCTTGCCAACTCAACCATCTGATCCAGCCTTGCCTTAGCCCACAATTTTGCCCAAGTTAAGGGCCCATGCACATGCCCTTGCCTTGGTCTTTTGCCTCTTCCGTCATGTCCGACTTTGGGGGTCTAACAAACCACCCCCACCAGTTGAACTCGACGCCCTCGTCGAGGCTGTTTTAAGGTAGTCCTCCAACTACTTGTCGAACTGCCATAGTGACTTTGTTTTTTCCCACGTTGCATCGGCCTCCTGCCTTCCCTTCCATTGAATCAAGAATTCTGTCCGCCTATTTTTCTTGGCGCCAAGTACCCGGTGATCCAGTATTTTCTCAAATTTCAGCATCGAACTGTGTATGTGCCACAGCTGGTGCCCTCTTTGACTGGTTCCTGTCCGGATCATCAGCATCCGCATAATACGGCTTCAGAAAACTCACGTGGAAGGTCGGGTGCAGTTTCAACCTTTTGGGCAGCTTCAACCTGTAGGCCACCTCGCCCACTTTCTGAACTACCTCAAATGGGCCATCATATTGAGGAATTAAACCGCGGTGTCTAAACTCCTTGTGATCTGCTTCCAGATTTGGGGAGTCAGTTTCAGCAACACCTTGTCACCAACCTGAAATTCCAGCTTCCTCCGATGCTGGTCAGCATACTTTATCATACGCCGCTGTGCTTTGCGCAAACTGTCTTGCGCTTCTGCAAGCAACTCTTGCTTGTCTCTTGCATAACGGTAGGCAGCAGGACACTTTCCTTGAGCCTTCTGTCTAGCAACATCAAGTGGCGTCATAGGCTGTCGGCCTAAGACCAACTCAAAAGGGCTCATTTCTGTTGCTGATGACTTGTGCAGATTATAGCAAAACTGCGCCGAATCCAATAAGTCCACCCAATTCCGCTGACTTGCTGTCACGAAGTGCCTTAGATATTCTTCCAAAAGGTGATTAATTCTTTCCGTTTGCCCATCGGTTTGAGGATGGTTCGCCGTTGAGAACTTCAGATCAGTCCCCATCATGTTGAACAACACTGTCCAAAACCGGCCTGTGAACCGTGTATCCCGATCGCTGACAATATCAGCTGGCACACCAAAGAACTTAACCACGTTTTTGTAAAATAATTCCGCAGCAACATCTGACGAACAAGCGACTGGGGCAGCATAAAAACAGCATATTTTGAGAACCTGTCCACCACAACCATGATTGACGCCATTCCATTGACCTTTGGAAACCCGCCGATGAAGTCCATAGAAACTGAAATCCATGGTCTTTCCGGAATAGGAAGAGGCTGCAGCAAGCCCGCCTCCTTCTTGCGCTCAGTCTTGTCCAGCTGACAAACTAGGCAAGTTTTCACATAAGCTTCAATGTCATCTTCCATTTTGGCCCAGAAATACACTCTGGACAGTAAGGCCAGCATCCGCTCAACACCCGGATGTCCAGCCCATGTGGTGTCATGCGCCTCTTTCAGCAGTTCCCTGCGCAATCCGCCACCTTGAGGTACCACAATTCTGCCCCCTTTGAAATAGAGCAGATCGTCCTCGATCCAATACCTCCGGATAGTTCCATCACGAACTTGACTCATTACCTTTTGATATAATAAGTCATTGGCAGCACACAGTCTGATTTTATCAACAAAATCAGATTGCAGTCTCGAAATAGAATATGCAGCAGCAAATACCTCCTTCCGACTCAATGCATCAGCTACTTGGTTCTGTTTCCCTGGCTTATGTTCCCACACGAAATCATACTCAGCCAAGAACTCCTGCCAACGAGCCTGTTTGGGACTCAATTTGCGTTGCGTTTTGAAGTAAGTATTGGCGACGTTGTCTGTCCGCACAATAAACTTCGTTCCCAGCAAATACACCCGCCAAGTTAGCAAGCAGTGAACCACATCAACCATTTCTTTTTCATGGGTAGAATACCTCTGCTCCGCATCATTCAATTTCCTGCTTTCGAAAGCCACTGGATGGCCTTCTTGGATCAGCACGCCCCCAACAGCTTTGTCGGAAGCATCAGTATGTACCTCAAAAGGCAACTCGAAATCAGGCAGCTTTAATATGGGTTCGGATGCAATGGCATTCTTCAGCAAGTTGAATGCCTCATCACACTTTTCTGTCCAAACCCAGCCCACGTCCTTCTTCAATAAGTCCGTCAAGGCAGCAACTTTCTTTGAGTATCCCGCAATGAATTTGCGGTAGTAATTTGCCAAGCGAAGAAAAGACCTCAAGTCTTTCACATTCCGCGGCACGGGCCAGTCAACAATGGCCTGTACCTTCGCTGGATCCATCTTTACCTGGTTCTGTCCGACCAAGTGACCCAGAAACTTAATTTCCTGCTGGCCAAATTCACATTTTTCCATCTTCACATAAAGCTGATACTCCCTTAATCGGCGCAGTACCAACCTAAGATGGTTTACATGTTCCTCTAATGACCTATCGTCTTCATGGCCTCGCCATGAGGATGAACAGCGTTGATAAATCCAGCCATTTGGCCATGCATCACCATCACTCCGTCCAGGTGAGGCATTGGAACGAAGCAGTTTTTCCTCAGGAAATCTATCCCAAGGATCATGTCGAAATCCCCCAGCGGAATCACCATCAGGCTGTGCTTTCCTTCCCACGGTCCAGCGGACATCTTCACATCGTAGGCCATGCCTTCGATGCGCTGGGCAACCTGGTTCACAGTTTTCATGTAGTTTGGACTCTTTTTCCATCGCAGTCCAAACTTGGCAGCAATCTTCACATCAATAAAAGTATGGGTAGCTCCAGAGTCTACCATCGCGACCAACACTTGATCTTCAACTTTAAATTCAATATGCAGTAATAAAGAATGAGGGTTCTTAGAAGGCTCACCCATTGCATTTACTAGTGACATCTGATTATTCAAAAGTAAACCCAATGGATTAGCCAGGGCAGCAACCACTTCTCCTTCTTCATTCGTACCTGCATTTCCAGCAAGCATAGCATTCACCCTTTCACGATTTGGGCAACTCTTGGCCATGTGAGGCCCGCCACAAGTCCAGCAACCCTTGTCAGTTGCTGCATTTTTCTTGCCTTTTTGTTGTCCAGCATCGCCAACAGCTTTGCCTTTGTCTAGGCTTTCCTTGCGTACTTCTTTCCTCCATTCCCCCTTCTTCTCAGGCTTCTTCTTTGCCTTTGAAGAAGCTGGAATTTCAGAAGGAAGCCTGGTTGAGCGAAAGTCCACTAAAGAGTCAGCTGCGGCAATAGCACTAGGGAGGTCCTTCACGTTCTGCCTCCTTAGTTCGTTCTGGGCCCATGCTTGCATCCCAGAAATAAAGTTGTGCAGTTTGTCCTCATCGGACATGTTTTTAATATCCAACATCAAGGAAGTAAATTCCTTAATGTAATCACGAACAGAACCCGTTTGTTTGAGCTGCTTCAAACGGTCTCTTGCCACCCAAGATGCGTTGCTAGGGAGGAACTGATCACGCATCTCTTTTTTCAGTCTTTCCCAAGAGTCAATCCTGGGTCTCCCAGCACTAATATCGTCGGCATCCCTGGTCCGCCACCACAATTTGGCATCGCCAGTTAAGTACATGGTGGTTATACTTAACTTGTCGCCCTCAGCAATGCGAGCAGTTGTAAAGTACTGTTCCATGTCCCACAGAAAATTTTCCAGTTCCTTAGCAGAACGCGTACCTGTGAATGCTTTTGGTTCTGGAAGTTTGAGCTTGGAACGATCAGCTTCATGGGTCTGGCCAGTGTTAGCCAAAGCCCTTCGTAGCACCCTGATTTCCAAGTTCAAATTTTCATTTTCTTGTTTCAGATCCTCGATCTGAGCAGAGACATTGTTGCGGAACTCATCAATACTTGTGGTTTTTAGCAGCATCATCTCACGGAACTGGGCAAGTTCCATGTTAAGGCCATGGATGCGGGTGACTAGGGAAGTTACGTCCCCCACATCCTCTGCAATTCCCACAAGAGCTTCTAAGGCAGCTGTCCGATCTCGTAACTCATTGATTGCGTTGTTTCCACCAGCCATCGTTTAATCAGTAGCAAGGCTCTGATACCAGTTAACACAGGGGTGATTTTTTTCGTTGGCACCACTGTATGGTAGTCAGCTCGCAGCTAACTTCAGCCCACAAGAACACCTGTTTTGATACTTAGGTGCAAAGACAGAATTAAACGAGGGAAACAGGCACACAATGTTTACAGGCAACAAGCCCAACTTTTATTTATCTCTCAGATAAATACAAAGAATCACGAGTTGGGAAAGCTCTTTACAACATCCTATATTTATACAAGTTCTGCCTCAGCAGGTATAATACATTTACAAAGAGTATTTCTGCATGTGCCAGCTGTCTCACATGCAGCCAGTCCAGCTGCCAGGTGTGCCACGCACACTGCCCCAATGCCATGCCTGTTGCAGCAGCTTGTGCTAGTAATCATTTCCATCAAAGCATGCCTCTGTTGCTGTCAGCCCGCCATCATGCCTACCTGTCAGTCAGGTTCATGCCATTGCTTCTGCCAGCAACCTTGCCCAACAAATCATTTCCGTCAGAGCATGCCTCTGTTGCTGTCAGCCCGCCATCATGCCTACCTGTCAGCCAGGTTCATGCCATTGCTTCTGCCAGCAACCTTGCCCAACATGCCTTGTCAGCCAGGCATTGACGATTGTCAAGTCATCTTGCCAACTCAACCATCTGATCCAGCCTTGCCTTAGCCCACATTTTTGCCCAAGTCAAGGGCCCATGCACATGCCCTTGCCTTGGTCTTTTGCCTCTTCCGTCATGTCCGACTTTGGGGGTCTAACAGTTTTTTGGTATGTACGAAAATTCTTCTTTTCTTTTTTAAATGTTGTGTCCACTCAAATGCTGTCATATAAACAAAATGACGGAATAGTTGTTTTTGGCTGCACACGGCCAGTAGACTGAGACTATTTTGTGATTTGTTCACCTCTACCACCACAACAGGAAAATGATGAAGGGATGGAATAGGTGAAAGAAAATTAAGAAAACTGCAAAAATGAAAATATTGAAAAGCTAAATGTCACAAATGAAACCCAACAGAGGACGGAACAAGACTTAGATAAATACTTTTAACGCAAATAGTAGTGCTGGAATTCTTCATGCGGAATGTCGCTGGTATTCCCATAGTGAAAGAAATTGCAGCTTGTAAGGCATTTATTTTTAAGTACCGGAAAAAGATGCCATACAAAAATTGCCAACTAAATATTAACCAAAAAAGTTGTTGGAACATCGACCAGAAATTCAAGATTTAGAGGAGGGGCTCATCACCCTAACTTTAATTGCATGCAGTATAAGGGAACAAGATTTAAAACAATGATCAGGAATTTAATGTTCAGATGAAAGATACAACACCCAGACTCTAATATCATTATGAAGAATGAAAAGAAGTTTTAGAGAATGCTTTGCTTGAAAAGAAGACAGAAGAATAACTAATAGTGGTTGGAAGAGGCAATGAGCTGGAATGGTCATAAGAAAATTACAAGAAATGTAACATAATTACAATAAGGAAAATAGGCAGGGGAGGTGAAATAAGACCACCCAGTAGCGCCAAGCTATTTAGGTCTACTACGATAACCTCTTTTACCATGTAAAACGGTATAGGACAGAAGAGAGAGAACTTGTCTTGAATTGGTTATAGACAATATACAGGAAGGCTACTTATTTCTTGAAAAAGATTTATGTCCTTTTTTTTTAAGAAGAAGAAGAAGAAGCATGAGGGCTCCATCTTTTAGGATACTAGAACAAAGGCACATCACTAAATGAAATTAGGAAAGTTAACTAAATATCGAGATTCCTAATTATGAAATAATTAAGAAGATTATTTTATACTATTACCAAAACACATAAAATGAATATAGAACATTCTGACATATATTACTAAATTATATTTCTCTTCCTTTTAACAAAAATCAATAATTATAAACAGCAAAGAGTTCCTTGGCCCCTTGGCGAGTCCCCAATAGATAGGGGAATCCCAAAGTACAAATCAAGTACAAAAACATCATTACATTTTTTATAAATCTAAATCACTGCAATGTAGCAGCTAAAATAAACCCATGGACCAATAGACTAGAAGGAATATGCAACGCTAATAAAATGGTCAGATTTCGGAAATGTAAAGGACGGACCAACGGAGAGGAGCACACACCAGATGTCCAGAAGATTATCTCCTCAAAGATAGCCAATGTGTAAAGAATTGTATAAAAGTTCTTCCAACAATCTCTAGTAACTTTAAATCACAGCTAAAATCAGCGAACAACAGGATGGTATTCACAAGAGATAAAAAAAAAGGTAAAATGTTGTGCAGCGAAGTTTTGTTCTTAACAGACAGCGTGAGTTATGGATTGACTTCTAACTCCAATAAAAGATTATTTTAGTAAGCAAATGCACAAGGGAGACAACATACAATCAAGCACAATGTACAACCTCTCTATCGGACAAGTATGACTAACATATACAACCAACAGAATGCATTCCCTCCACCCATAAGAAACATCTACAAACATATATGTTCTGAATAAAAAGAAAAGCATCATTTTGAATGAATAGAGTTCGTGTTACCAACATTGAAATAGCAACCAGGTTGTAACAGAGCAGATAGCTTAAACAGATAAATGTTTCATTTAAATCTAAAACTGAAAAAGGAATAACTATGTTCTTTTCCCACAGAGTTTCCCCATAGCAAACTCACTTTACATTCCAATGGATCCTATAATGACATCCTGGCGGCACCCATTACGAAGGAAAATTTGTAGAATTAGACAGTACTCCGATATAGACATATCAGTGGAAAATATTATCAACATGGTCTTCCATTGTGTACAGTTAAACATAATAAGAGCATCAGTAAGCATATTCCATCCTGCACATTCATGTTACTTATTAATGCCTAAATCAAATGCTATAGATTCCTCGAATCATGACTTGCTAACAGTTCTTGAAACCCTTAGAAAATCTAGACAGAAGTTACATTTAGTTAAGGAGAACTGTTTTACAATAGTAAGATTGCAATATAACTTATATTAGGTCTGGGTAGGGATAAGTATGAGATTTAGAGAATCACTTTTCTAGAGAACCCCCAAAGGTTTAAGAGACAAATTACTCACCATTGCTAGCTTGAAATGGGCTCAAATAGAACGAAATATATAGAGGATTCAAATCTAGTTTGCGATTAAGGCTTAGTTGATTATTGATTATTTCTCCAAAACTGCATACAGCCAAAAGGACATTTAGAGTGAGGATAAGGAACAGACTCGCTGCTAAAGTTCAGTTCATTAACCACTAAAATGTTCAACTTTAGCCAGTTAGCAACTGAACTTACATCCTCATAAATAATTATCTAATTTTTTAGCTTGAGACAACAAAAGAATAGCAGGAACAACAGGGAGTAAGAGAGAGACAACCCATCCAGGATAAATAACTAACCCTATTCACTCTTTTAAGAGTTAAGGACCATATTAGTTTAAATTACAGTGAAGAGAGAGCTGGTGGAGGTCAGGTAGATCACAGCTAGACAACAGAAACAGTGAAGAGAGAACCTGTATCTTAGAAGAGTACCTCTCATTTTGGTTAAGACGAGCTCCGAAAAAGAAAGCCACAGAAAGCAACCAACAATCACTATGCACGGCGACCAGTGAAAGCCAATCTCTACGAGTCATTCCATCCCTCGCAAAATTTATCCCAAGTGCTGGCTCTGGGAGCTCAGGTGGAACTTCTTCGGCAGGAAGGTTGACTTCCCAGGTTTCATTCGGATGTCCATATAGGCACAAATTTTCCTTCTCTACACCCAAGTAATGAAACATGAATAACACAATGTCAAATAGTATAATGTCAAGACCATACAAATTTAGGAGACAAATTACTTTCTTCTAAACGTTCAGAAAACTAAATAAGCCACAGAAGGCAAAGTAAAACACTTTGTATAGATAACAACGAGCCAATTTTTTTGATAACCGCGGTGTCCGGGCTAGCTTATTCGATTCTTCTTTTCCATGGCTCCTCATTGTTGTTTCTGGCTGTTTATTTTTCATTATTGTTGTGCTATAGCTTCACTGAGCCGGGGGTCTATTGGAAACAGTATCTCTATCTCTACAAGATTGGAGTTAAGGTCTGCGTACACACTACCCTTCCCAGACCCACTGTGTGGGATTACACTGGATTTGTTGGTGGTGGTGGCGGTGGAGGTGTCCGGGCTAGCTTGCACGCACCTCGACTAATTCCATGGGTTACGTGCTAGCTCCCACCAGTATAGGTACCAGGTAACTCTATCCACCTAGGCTTGGACAAATGGGATCTTGAACCAAGTCAGCTATTTAAATGGAGAATAAGACAGAGGCCTGCCCATTATCTGCCAAGTTTTGAAGTTGGATACAGTGGATTTCTCAATTATAAAAGTAATGACATTGTTGGCGAATTTTCCAATTTCTAAAGGAAACCAATTTCTTTTGATTTTTGTTTAACAGCAGTTCATCCACAGTCAATCTAACTGTATCCCAATAATAAAATCAATCTCATAAATTAGTGAAAATTAAATGAAAACCCCACGTCCTGGTTAAATAAGCAATAGCAGAATTCAGTCAATAGACTAAAAAAGCTCAATGCTTCAAATAACAAAATCAAATTAAGCTTGCAAATTATTTTTCACCAAAAATTAAGGCATGCAATTAGAAGCTCAATGAAATTACCTGGATCGCAGAGATTGTAAAATTCATCCACATCTGAAAAAACCCAAATCAATTTTAAAAACGGAAACTTTACAAGAAACAACATGAATTTGCATATATCTACATCTACTCTGTGCGTGTGTGTGTAAATTAAGTACCATATGATAAAGCACGAACTATTCCAGTACGGCGAGCGTTATAATCTTTGAAGATCTCTTCTACAGTTCTCGGACTTGATGAAATTGATGACATTTTTTTGCAAATAGAAATTAAAAATTATTCTGAGATCTCTGATAAAGAAAAGGAAGAGTTTCAGAAAACTGATCTTACAAATTTCACATACAAATTTAAAGAAAGAAATAATATGGAATCGAATTTGATGAAGAGCTGAGTATTTGGAGCTCACGTAAACGTTACGTGAGAATGTATAAACAGAAAAATTAAGAAACAAATAGCGGCAGGAAAACGGGTTAATAGACGCTATGTTTTACTATGGCTTGAAAAAGGTCAATTGAATATATATTCATCGCTAACCTACAAAAATTGATAAACAAAATATTTTAAAATTAATGAACTAAAATAAATTATAAATATATGAGTGATTTTAAATTATCTCATTAAGATACCGTTTTATAGGACTCACTACCACTTATAATACATGTATAAAACATAACCTTTTTTTTTTCAATGGTACAAAACCAGATGAAGCCTCGGTGACAATCCAAACAGGAAAGTTGTCGAATCAAGCGACTTCACTAAGTAGTGCGAAAGAAAATGTGGCTAACCTATAACTACAAGTATTGAACTTTCTACCTAGATATTTAAAAGATACATCACTCAGTTGTTGCTGAAGTGTCCAAATATCTTCGCAGGGAGTATTAACCTCCCATGAAGGACCTTTGCTTCCATTAAGCATTTGAACCATTGTTAAGGAATCAGACAAGATATGTATATTCTTCTAGTCATACTTCACCGCCAGTTAAATTGCTTTTCTTATTGCCCACGCTTCAGCTATTATGGCTTTTCCAACAAAAGGAATTAGACTACCATCGGCATAAAGCACGTCACCATTAGCCTTTAAGGCTACCATTCCAATACTCGCTTTGCGAGTCTTTGGATCCAGACCTGCATCCACATAAAGCAACACTTTTTCTGAAGAAAGAGTTAGTAATGGTGGATTAGTAGAAGCATCGCTCATAGTGTTAACATGTTCCTTTTCAACTGTAAATTCATTAAACTCAAATAATGCTTTAGATAAAATATCATTTTCATTCCATATCACCGAATTAAAAATATACTCATTCCTAGCCTTCCAAATCATCCATAAAATAGATACTTCTACTTGCAATAAGGTATTAGTTCCGAGAATCTTTTAATGTCTAACACTAATTTATACCACCATGTAGCAAAATCAGAGATCATATGCAAATTTGGCCAACGAATCGAACTCATTTTCCACACATGAATTGATCTTGGACATTTAAAGAACATGAACATGTGCTCTAAAGATTCAGGTCCCATCCCACAAATAGGACAGATGTCATCCATAGAGTGAATTTTTTTTTTAATAATATTCTTAACAGACAATGTATTTAAGACACACTTCCTTAAGAAATGTTTGAGCTTGTTTTTAATATTTAAGGACCATAAATGGTTCCAAAAGGATTTCGGGAACACATGAGAACTACTTTCCGCATGATTAGCCAAACTTCTATCATTTGTGAGGAACAATTTCGCCAAATGATACCGAGACTTCACTTCGTATTACCAAATTAGTAAAATGCCAAATCAGTCGATCATTTCCCCCTACGGAAGAAACTGGAATAGTTAAAACAGACTCGACATCATCTTCACTAAATAACTTATTTAAAATCTACATATTACATGTGTTAGTACTATCATCAATCAGTTCTGATACTTTCATATTTGTCGCAGTACCACTCATCATACTTAAGGGGTAAAAGGAGCTATCTCGTGGTAGCCATGGATCTCTCCATACTCTTACAGATTTACCATTTTTTGAAACATTCCATCTAACACCTCTACTTAATAGATCTCGCCCCCATAAAATACTTTTCAATACCCAAGATGTGTATTTATTGGTCGGTGCCTGTAAGAAAGATTCCTTTGGAAAATATTTACCTTTAAGTACTTGAGAAACTAACAAATCTGGTTCAGTCAGAATTCGCCATGCTAGTTTGGCTAAAAGAGCCATATTAAAAGCCTTTAGATCTTGAAAGCCTAACCCCCCTTTAAATTTTGGTTCACATAGTTTTTCCCACTTTTTAAAATACATCTTTCTTTTATCATCATTCATACCCCACCAAAAGTTTGAAAACAAACTAGCGATTTCCTTACACAGCCCATCAGGTATCTGAAAACAAGACATAGCATATGAGGGGATAACGCTAAAACAGACTTTAATAAAACCTCCTTACCTGCTTGACTTAAAAACTTTTCTTTCCAACCCTTTATTTTAGATAAAATTCTATCCTTTATGAAAGCCAACATTTCTTTTTTATATCTTCCCATAATAGCAGGCAGTCCTAAATACATTACCCTTTTCGTATATTATTCAAAGAAGAGCATATTATAACTTTTTCTTCCTCCATAGTATTCTTACTAAAAAAGATTGCAGATTTCTCTAAATTAACAATTTGTCCTAAGCATCTTGCATATATGTCCAAAATTATATTAATCGTAGCAACACTATTTATATCAGCTCTACAAAAGATAAATGAGTCGTCTACAAAAAATAAATGAGAAACAGAAGGACTACTTCTCCCTAATTTGAACCCTTTTAACTTTCCTTGTTGTTCAGCCGAGTGTAATAGAGCAGATAATCCTTCAGCACATATTAGGAATAAGTAAGGTGATAGAGGATCATCCTGCCTTAATCCTCTAGATGGATTTACACAACCCTTAACCTCTCCATTAAACTTAAATAAAAAAGAAGCAGTCATAACACAAGTCATAACTCAATTTAGAAAAATTTGGTGAAAACTCATTTGTAACATCATTTGCTGGATATAAGGCCACTCCACACGATCATATGCTTTAGACATATCTAACTTTAAAGCCATTAACTTATCTTTTCCTTTTCATTTGTTTTTCAACACCCCCAAAAATTCATGTGCTAAGACAACATTATCCATAATTTGTCTTTTTCAACAAAGGCGGCTTGATTCATAGAGATAAGTAAAGGCATCAACGGTTTCATACGTTTCACCAGAATTTTTGTAATGATCTTATATAAAGTAGAGCATAAGTTAATAGGCCTAAAGTGATTTACGGTAGTAGATATTTTTATTTTTGGCACCAACGTTATCAAAGTTTGATTCCAAACGGGTAAAAGTTGACCTGTCTCAAAAAAACACCTTACAGCCAAACAGACATCATGAGAAGTTAACGGCCAAAACTGCTGAAAAAATAGTGGAGTCATTCCATCAACACCAGGGGACTTATTAGGATGCATAGAGAAAACGGCTTCTTTTATTTCCTCATTAGTTACTTCACTAATCAGGACCAAATTCATGTTTTCATCGATAGAAGTTGGAATAGACTGAAGAACATGAGATAAGGAGGAAGGATTAGATGTAGTAAATAGTTCCCTATAGAAATCCTCAATTTTCTTTACCATACCGTTTTTATCACAAATGCACTCTCCTGATCCATTCTCAATTTTTTTAATTAGATTCCTCCTTCTTCTCTGAAGACTAGACATATGAAAAAAAAAAGTATTTTTATCTCCTTCATTTAACCATTGAACTCTAGACTTTTGCTTCCAATAAATTTATTCCTCCTTATAGGCTTTACCTAACTCATTTTTCAGCTTTGATATGACAGTTAGATCAGGTCCCTTTGGATTCATTTGTGCAAACTTAAGAAGAGTTTTCAGTTGCTTAATCTTTATCATAGAGTTTGTTTCATCCTTCTTTCTCCATAAGATTAAAGAATTTTGACATTTTCTTATCTTTGCACACACTTTAGATTGACAATCCCCAGAAGGATTAGTGACCCAAGATTGTTTAATTAATTCATGGGCTTCACAGTTTCCAACCCATCTTTTATCAAAATAAAATCTTTTTTTCCAGCGATCATTTAGTCCATTTGTGGAACAAAGAATTAATTCGTGATCTGAAGCATCATTTTGAATATGAAGCACCGTAGCATGATCATATTTTAATCTCCAATCAGGAGATACCAAAACTCTATCTAAACGTTCTTGAATAATTCCCTCGTTAATTCGGTAAGAAGACCAAGTCCAAGGTTTTCCTCTATAACCAAAGTCTACCGCTCCTAGTATATAAATAAAGTTATTAAAATACTTAAAAGTCCAAGGAGCCCGCGTAGTTCTCCCAGATTTTTCAGAATTATCAATAATATCATTAAAATCCCCTAGCAACATCCAATGGTTTCCCCAAGATACTGATCTAGTAATAAGTTCAGCCAATTGTTTCTTTCTAGTTTCTCTATCTGTGCTAGCATATACAAAAATACAACAAAAACTAATATTCTTTTCATTATCATAAATGGAGAACTCAATAAAATATGATGAAGAGTAAATGTTACTTATCTGAGTGTCTTCATGCCGAGTAAGGCGAGTCCACCAGAGAGTCCAACAGGGTCCACAATGTAGGAATTTTGCATCCCAACCTTTTGTCGTAGCCACTGAAGTCGTGATTGTTGGTTCTTCGTCTCACATAGAAGAATACAATCCGGGGAGTGGAGATACATTTTCTCCTTCAAACAGGGAACTGTCAAGGATCCCCCCAACCCTCGACAATTCCACGCCAGCAACTTTATTTCATCAAGGGAGACCATTCCAGGCTGGCCTCCCACACCACCTCTTTCTTTTGACGTTTTGCAATAGCCATTGGTGTAACTATCTCCTTATATTTTCGTTTTACCCTCATTAACCCAAACTCTTCCCTAATCAGAATATCAATTAGCATATTAGGCTCTTCTAAATTGACTGCTTCATTCCCAGAAACAACATCACTCACCTTTACTCCATTAGGTGCATCATCAGTAGCTTTGTCTTGGTTCTGTAACATCGTCATCTCAATACCATCCTACTCTTTGTCTTCTTGCCCAAACTCATGTATACAAACGTTCGCAACTAACCTTTTACCTGGTATAATCGCAGCTTCATGACTGTTTCCTGCAATATCTCCTTGTCTTTTAAAAAGTGATGGCGAATATGAATAGACTGGAAGTTGAGTTTTTTGCAAAGTATTCGTATGGGGTTGGCCAGTATCTTTATTTTGTGAATCAGCAAGTGGAAGACTGTTATTAGAGATTGGGATTGTTTTTTCCTCCAGAGAATGTACCCGGTGCACTTCCTCTTTGTCATTCAAATTATCATCGCCCTTTGCTTGCAAATCCAGAACTTCCTTCCCCTGTAATCCATTTCCCTCCACCTAGACATTGTCTTTCTCTATACCATCCTGCATAACCATCGAGTCTCCGTCGCCTTCCAGATATTGCAAATCT